TAGCGTTAGGTTAAGGGTTAGGGTTAGGGTTAGGGTTAGGTTTAGGGTTAGGTTAAGGGTTAGGGTTAGGGTTAGGGTTAGGTTTAGGGTTAGGTTAAAGGTTAGGGTTAGGTTAAAGGTTAGGGTTAGGTTTAGGGTTAGGTTTGGGGGGGTTAAGTTTAGAGTTAATTTTAAATTTACCGCTCACAGCGTGCTGTTTTCGTCGCGCTGTGATGACGTCACGTACGCGCTTTCGTCGAGCGCGCTTTAGTCTACCGCGGTTTTGTGGTGGAACCATCATTCTGTACATAATTTTTGGATTCAAACAGTGCAGTGCAGATAGTCCTCACTTAACAACACTGATCCAGTGCTTGTTAAAACTTGTGACAGCACTGTACAAATAGTACCAATGACCCATCTTTGAAGTTTCGACTATTCCGGTGTCCCTCAGTCACGTGATTACAATTGGCGATGTTCCCTGCCAGCTTCCTTCAATGGGAAAGCTGAAAGGAGTGATCACATGAGGTCCTTGCTTAATGACCTGCAGTGATTCGCTTATTGATGGTAACCGGGCACTTCCGGATCTGCCATTGCTAAGTGAGGCAATCATGCAATATTGTTTTTTTCATTGCTTAGCAACAGAAACTCCAGGACCATTTAATGTCATTAAGGAGGTCTACCTGTATGGTACAATATAGTATTCTAGCTATGTTTAAAGTTAACCAGGCTTTTTAGAACCATAATTTGCATGCCAAGGTCAAATTCTGCTTAACCTTAATCCTAGTTAGTATTGAAATGAATATTTTCATTAAATAACTTGCAATTGAACCCTACTTCTTCATAAAAAAAACAACAACTCAGGCACAGCATCCCTATTTATTCCGACAATAACTCGATAAACTGAGAGTGATAAACCAACATCATCTATTAAGCCAGGGGTGTCAAACTCTCGTTGTCACAGCATCATCATGTGACATATCAGGGCTTTTCTCCCCTTCACTAACCAAGTGTGGTCGCGGCCAATGCGTGACGCATTTGGCCCACGGTCCGGGAGTTTGACATCCCTGCTCTAAGCTGTGGTGGCACAGAGGTTAGAATGTAGTATTGCAGGCTAGCTCTGCCCACTGCTAGGAGTTTGATCCTCACCGGCTCAAGGATGACTCAGCCTTCCATCCTTCTGAGCTCAGTAAAATGAGGACCCAGTTTGTTGGGGGCAATATGCTGACTCTGTAAACTGCTTAGAGAAGGCTGTAAAGCACAATGAAATGGTATACAAGTCAATGTGCGATTGCTATTCAGTGAAAACAGTACCTGGGTTTCCCTATTCTAATACTGAAAGCAGAGTTCTTCAGATGTTTCAATGTATTGCTACACATCATGCCGGCTTTGGCTGAAGGCTAATGAAGTTGAGGACAGTTGAGGCTATCTTCCACTGTTCTAACTTTGCTTCATGGGGGAAAAATAAACATTAAATCATGATTAAAAGCAAATCATGTGAAGAAGATTGTATGGGCAGAAAAGAAGCAATTCCATCTATGGTACAGTTTGCACATGAGAAAGTGAAGCTGCTGAAGTCAAATTAGTTTTACTTATCTTAGAGTAAACTGCTTTCAATAGCATTTTATCAGGCTTACTTTTTAAGCTAAGCTTAAAACCAGGATTTTAAGTATATCCAAACAGGTTATTTTTCTCCTGGCCTAATATTACACTAGATTCAGATTCTTTTATCCAAAAATGGGAGGATTTTTTTTACAATGATACCAACATAGCCGAAGTGGCATTTTATTGTAGGATCACAACGATGTGTCAGATTAAACTACTGTCTGCAATACAAATCTAATAACCATAGCTTGCCTTACACGATTACTAAGACAGATGTCAAAGTTATCATCTCCATCCATTATGACTATATTTTCCTAATATCATCAATAACTATGTATAAATGCATTTTTCTATACCTCAGCCACATGAAGAGGAGTAGAGTGGCAATTGTCAAGACGCACTCCATGGAAATATTTGGCAGTAATTTCAGTATATTTTTTCATGTGAGCCCATAGATATGGGCAGTCTTCTGGTTTATTCCCATATCGCAGCTTGACGCTATCACCCCAGCAAATAAGCTCTCTTCTAAGGTAGACATTTGAACCTATATAAATGAAAATCTAATTTAAGGTACAATACAGCAATTGTGGTTTCAATATTCTTACTCATTTTAGGTTATTATTTGAATTTACTTTTAATTTACCAAAAATTACAATTGCAATAATAAAAATTAACAGTCCCTTCAAATAATATCTTAGAACTTAATTTTTTCGCTTGTTCTGCTCACAAAATTCTTAAAAATTTAAACAAACTTTTGTAAATCCAATATAGGAAAAATTAGCCCTTTTAATTATAGACATGGGTACTGGGCAGGCAGAAAAAATGGGAGACAAGTAGTCTTTCAAAATCAATTCAACTGATACATAAATTACAAAAGATATAGAATTAAATGCAATGCATTGTCATCAAAAAGTCTCTGAAGTACCAACCTAAAATCTCATATTTTTTGGTAAATTATGCTTGAAAAATTGATATGCACAAAATAACCCTACTCACTTAGGCCTCAAAAAGAGCCGAAGTGGCGCAGTGGTTAAATGCAGCACTGCAGGCTACTTCAGCTGACTGCAGTTCGGCTGTTCAAATCTCACCGGCTCAGGGTTGAC